TAATTTTCAAGTTCAAATAGATTTTTTCTTATTTTATCATCAGATCAAGGCATTGTCTTCTTATTCGACACATCTGAAAATTAATATTATTTTAAATTATTACTTGAATATAGAAAGATTAATAAGCAATTTAAAGTATAATTTTTATTATCTTATGAAGGAAACTATGCCAAGAGAATGGAATCTTTTTTTGTATACGATTTTAACCTTTAATGTAGAAATTATGCAAATCTGGCTGATATATCTACATAGTTAAAACAATGCAAGTTTTACTAACATATGAAAGAAAGTCTAAACAGACATCTTTTACATGGATCTCATTTCAATCTAATTATGTAGAATAGATGAAAACTGAATACACTGATACAAATACTCATTTAACAGATTTTTTTATGAACATTGTTTCGAATAATACTGCTACGATTAATGCTCGATAATCAAAAGTTTGTATAAATACGTTATGAGCTACTCGTTCAATAAACAATAAACTAACAGAGTTACTTTTGGTGTTGCTATTGATTAGGATCCATCTTTATGTTTTTTATGTGTTTGCTCTCAAAGTTCGGCATTTAAAATAAAGTTTGCGTTATTTTTGCCCTTATACCTTGCATCTAATCATATTTTAACTTATCTGTTTGCGTCTGATTGCTTTTATTACTTTTTCTTATCTTTCTCTCCTAAAAAACGAAATTAGAACAGAGTCATAGTCATATATTCTATATATCATTCATACATATTTGAGTGATTTTAAATAGTTGAATGCAGTTATTTAGATATGACTAAACTTGAAATCAGTTGCTGTTATTGGTGCAGATGATTCTATTGTGGTCTATGCGCTAATGTTCTCTTGAATGATGATTTTGATGTGATGCTTTTTGATCGACAACATGACGTAGGAGGTGTTTAACTTGTAGAATTCGTATATACCGATCGATGTGCTCAACAACCAGAAGCTACAAGAGAATTTTGTGATCTATTCGATGATGAAGTGAAAATTCATCATATTTGGTTTTTGATCGTCTTATGTTAGTAAAATCTTTGTTCATTTAAGAATTTGCCCTTTAACAGATAGTTGACAAGTCCAGCAAATCACTCAACTGAACACAAGAATACTCCATGTTTATCTTCAACTAGATTTTTCTTATATAATACATATGAATATTTATATACATAAGTTCATTTCATCTATTTAACCGATGCTATCAAGGATTGCCAATGAGAACAATGATGTACTTTTTTTATAATATCAATTCATGGCGAACAGATAAATGAAAACAAAATGATCTTTTTTCTCTTTCTTTTTATTTTATATGTCTATGAATATTGACCGAATTTCTTTATTTACATGTTTTTTGTTTAATTAAATATGAAGACTCTTCCTGTTTTTAGTGGTGAATTAGTATAATTTATTTAAGATCTTAATTAGTAAAATTTATAATAAAATTTTTTTTTAAAACATTGCGAATATATCTTCCTCATTTGTCAGTTCATTTACTTTTACGATAAGATTATGTTTTTACTATGCAGTGTTTCCAATGTTAAGTACCTCAAGCAAAAGCAAAGTACCCAAGGTACTTATGATTTTGAAAAAGTACTGTGTTTTGCACTTTGCTGGAAAACACACAGTACCTTGATGGTACTTTGTAAAATAAGAAAGCACTTTGCTTATTTCTTACACTATTATTTAGAAGTTACTCATCTCCTTATTGTTTATTGATTATATCGGTAGATGAGATGGAGCAAAAAGAAATTTTCGTTTAGTCTCATTGAATTTAGCATTGAAATTTCTTTTTATCTTTTCAGATTTTCAATATTATTTTTTTCTAATACTTTCTTCATTTATTCTTATCATATATTTCGATCTAATTCATGATTCGCGATTATTTTTTGAAAAATGGAAGGGGCTAAAATTTCGAAAAGTCTGAAAATTTTGGCAGAAAGTGCCTTATCTGACTTCATTAGTAGAAATCGAACAAAGAATACTAAATAAATCGACTTTCTACGAGATTTTTTTGACAAAAAATGTTTTTATTCGACTTTCTACTAAAATTTACTATGAAGTTTTCAAAAATATGACAGAAAGTGTTAGAAAATTTTCCAGAAGCCGGATGTAGTTTCGATTTATGGCGGAAGTTACACCATCAGCCCTCCCTAATCGAAGAGCATGATTTCATTCCATGTATGTGTATTTAATTAATGGGTTCTTTGGTTTTTTTAAAAGTGCGATCGAAAAACAAATATGAATGGCTCTTCAGAAATTCAAATGATTGACATTTTTCTTTTCAGTTTGATCTTATATTCATTAAAGTTTTATTCAATATATTTCAGATAAATGTATGTGCCTATAGAAATCAAAATTAAAATAGTTTTACTCATGATCGAATTTGAATCAGGCAAGATTCTAAAACAACAGTTATAGATCGAACTTGCAAAATATACATCAACTGTGCATTGTATTAGGATCATATTCCAACGATTATGTGAACCAGCTGATATCGGAAATCGATCACATTCTGAAAAATCTAGAGTAATAACTGAAGAAAAGAATCAATGAAGTTAATGATGATTCTAGAAATCATCCAGAATCATTCGTCGTAAGTCAATGAACTGTAGTTTGCAGTATTGAGCAAAAGTGTACAAAAGATCGAACACTTGATCCTGGCTCATCTTCACAAGTATCATTAACTTCATTGACTTTATCTTCAGTTATTACTCTAGGTTTTCCAGAACGTGATCGATTTTTTGACACTAGCTGATTCACATAATCGTTGGAATGTGACTCGAGTGCAATGTAAAGTTGGTGTATACTTTACAAGTTCGTTCTATAGTTTTTGTTTTAGCATCGTGACTAATTTGAATTTAGTCCTGAGTAAAACTATTTTAATGCTGACTTCTATAGTCACAGACATTTGCCTGAAATATACTGTATAAAACTTTAATGAATATAAGATCAAACTGTAAAGAACAATATCAATTATTTGAACCAATGAAGAGCCATTGATGTTTCTTTTTCGATTGAATATTTACGATACCGTCTATGTTAAATTGTTTGATAGCGTCAACGAACTAGCTCTCACTATTGTATTGAGAATTTTGCTAAATATCCTTTTTGACGTTAATTGAATCTTTATTTTTTTTAACGACTAACGATAAATGAGAAGATAATAAATGGATATATCATTTCATAAATTACAAAGTCAAACAGTCACCATCGCAAGTAAAGAAAAATGATGTTATTATCTCGTCATAGATATTGATTCGACATATAGAAGATATGCAAAAAGTAAAATCAATGACATTTACATCATATTGATCATATTAACCATCTTCAGTATTATGACATTGTAACATTTTTCAAATTTTGTTTCTGATAATATATAACAATGGATCGTGTATAATTATTTGATTTTTATCAGACTTTGTACACAAAATTACATACATACGATTGTAAATACATAAAAGCAAAACAAAAAGTATGAATGATGTGTAGAATGCATCATCGTTCATCTGATGTGGTCTATGCTTTTTAAATGTAAAAATTATTGAAATATTTGATATGAAATGAAAAGTAGATTATTATTCATCGAATTGTATTAATCATTGTAGAAGTGAACGAATTAATAGGTGTCGATCAATTGAAAAATGTCAAATAAACACTCATCAATTTGAATTTGTATGTACTGATAAATTCAATATTCACAGTTTCATTCAAGTAATAATTACTTAAATTCAATTGAGACAATTCTTCGATTCTACAAGACGATGATTATTTTCTTCATGAGTTATCAAATCGTATAGATTACTATTTACATAAGATTGTAGACCGTGACTCATGAATTCCCAAATTAATATACCATAAGGTCATTTCAAAGAAGATACTAAGTGCACAACAAAAAAAAGTAGATAGAGCATTAGATTTACAACAGCCAAAAATGTGGAAAATCTTCGATCACTAATCGATTGAATAGGCATAAGTTTTCATGGATGGCTTTCATTTGAAGTTTCTGTAGGACGATAATTCTAATCTCTTGTGAATAAATCATGTAATTACAGCACAATCATTTGATTTCATCGTCACATCATTCACAACTCTATCATGAATGATAAGACGAGATATTAACTAGAATACAATAATTTATTATTTCATCATGCATAGTATTGAAGAATGACAGTAAAGTAAATAGTTTATCTTTTTCAACTAATATCTATTACTTTTCAATAATTGCTATTTTTATTTTTCTCATTATCGAAATATTTTTTTGAAAACTAGAATAATATCTGATTATTTATCATGTGATTTACCAAAACAATACGAAATAATAATAATTGTAGTATTAATAGTGCATTGTCATTATCAATCAATGAAAAACTTGAGATATTTTCAAACATATTTGACACAATCAGTGAGTAATTAAACTTTCAATCTTATTTCTTTTTATTCTTATCGTTTAAATTAAACTATAACAATTCACTGTATGAGCTATCAACAATAATCGAGAAGATAAAGGAAAAAGTACGACCTAGCAAATAAAACATGTTAACTTAAGCAAATAAGAAGATAAAACGTTTGAAGTATCGAAAAAAAAAAGATATCAACTTTCACATTGTATATATCTGTACCGCAATAATGCATTGCTGTCTTTTGTCTTCGAGAACATCATCAATCATCAATACGTAAGCAATTTGAAGTTTGATTGATAAAAAACCAATGAAAACAAAGTACATTAGCATTCATCAAAGGACAAAGTTTAATTGTCTTTTTAATCGAATTCTGTGCACCAGCTGTGTATGTTTTGTCTCTTTATAGATTTTTTTTCTCTTTTCATCGTAGGCAGCAGAACGAAGAGACAAAACCTCTTTTGACAAGTGGTGCCATCATTAACTATCGCACACAATTAACTATTCCTTATGCACATGTTATTCGTGACGATAAAGTTGACATCGACTCGTCGAATGTAGTCGAAGCAAACGTTACCGACACTTTTTTGTTCAACGGCGCAATGCCTGACCGAACATATCAAACACGTATGTATTAATAAATATATTTGTCTCTAGTGAAATAACATTTTTTATTTTTAAATCGAAAAAAACAAAAACTAGAATCCCTTTCATTCGATACCAATGATACAAGTCCTCTTGTAATAGCAACAACAAACACAAATGGCCCGTGTTTACTTGAACGTCTTTTTTCAACCAATAATGTCTCTGCTGTTAATTCTTCAACAAATATTTCAATGTCTGCAACTAAATCGACAAAAACAAATTTATCGAATGGTGTGCTTATGGCACGACCATTCGACGAATTCCCTATAGGTATAACAATAATACCGTCTGGTCCTTTAGATGAACACAATATTGATAAAACAACAAAATCAGATCAAAATTAATAACAAATTTGACACAAGAAAGAATTATGAAAATATTTGTAAACAGTTTTGTGTGCTCATCTTTTTCATTAATATCTTATGTCTAAGTGAAAAGTGTAAACTTTTAATGACTGTGCTACCATATAAACCAGCTCTTGTATTGAAAACATTTAAAAAAAAA